TATATATTTCATTTCATAAAATAGATATATTTCATATACATATGAAGTACAGATATAGTTCATATATATAAAATATGTGACTGTGTCCTGTGATGTTAAATATTGAGGGACTTTTATTAATGATAAATTTATGCAATAAATGGCCTAGAACCTGAATGGCAATAACTTGGTTGATCAAAGATAAAGTACATCTTGTGTGAAATAAATCCAGAGCACCTTAAAGAATTTCACATGCTAGAGATCTTAAATTTATCTTTTTATCCACTTGACAGATCCTTCTATGTGACAGATACTCTATTATCCTGGCTCACAATTCTACTTTATATTTTTTTCTATTCTTAAAAGGAAATTAGACTTACCTTTTACAAGAAGACATTCCATCAGTCTTTTTAGTGAGATAGTCATTAGAATATTTTCAAAAATGAAAAAGTCACTTAATACTCTTACTCTCTTTAGAATTATTGTAACCCTCTTCAGAGAGTCTGGTCCCTCTGTTGAGTGTTCTGCCTGATGGTGAGGGAATTAGGATAATTAGTCTACTGAATACCTATTAAAATGTAGATGCCTACCTACAAAGTACACCATTTAGTCTTAGAGATGCAAAGGTGTTCAAGGTAAGCTACCTAGAACTCATCAGGTGGGAAAAGCCAGACATAGAAACAATAAATTAGAGAACAGCTTATTACAAAAGTACAAACCAAAAACTATGAAGAAACAAAGAAAGCAGCTGGAAATACATCCTAAACAGAAAAGGGCTGAAGGAAAGACTAAGAAGCATCAGCATACAAATGAGAGAAATATGGAGGATGCTAAAAGAACCATGTATATAACCTCAGAGTTACCCAAGATGAAAGGAAGAGCAAAGAATAAGGACACAGTACAAAAGGTAATTCCTGAATTTTAACATCATAATGTAGGAATGCTTTCAACAGAGCAGAGGAAATAACAGTTCCCTAAGGAAACCCAGGGATCCACTTTGGATTATCCGATACTGAGGTCTGTTCACACCTTTACCAGGATCTTTCTAATGGCATCTAAATGGATTCCTCACTCCCCACAACGTCTCTCTCTCTCTC